TTCCACTTTTTCCAGCAGATTCACATTCTTCACAATCCTTATTTTTCCTTCTACTGTTCTTTCTTCTATTCTAACAACAAATAATAAAATAACCTAATATTCTATTATTCCTTAGTGGGCTCCAAACTTACACCCCCTTATTACATCTACTATCTCAAATTAAGTCCACCTTAATAATATTACACTTCTAATATTATTTCACTACATAATATTATATCCCTAATATCATTTCTCCACTTAATATAATAAATCCAATTTAATTATAACACAACCTCAAAAATATTCCAAAAAATAATAATTTAATTGAATAATTAATTAAATTACGGGCGTTACACAGATTTTTTGTAAGGAGATACGTAGACACATGATTAAAACCAAGGTGAGTCCATAACTAAAAATATAAATAATTTTCCTATGCAATTGATAATAACATGCCTCTAAGTAGAAATCCCCAATATATCCTATAAACCTAAAAGAGGAACCCATTAAGAACAAGGAAGATGAAGGGTGCCTAACACCCTCCCTTTGTCTAACCAACTCGCGAACTTAGAATCTCAAAACAATTAGGGTTATCTATTATTCTTAGTCCTTAGAACACAAAAATTAATGGTGGCGACTCATTATTTTTTTCCGGTTACGACAACCTGGTTCCTTCACAACCAAATTTCCAAAAATAGGGAAAATGTGGTTCTTCATTTTATGATTGAAATAAAAAGAAAGAACAACATATTGCCCTATGTTGAGCTCATTACTAAAATTCACCGATACACCGACTATCTCTTTGGTTAAGAAGAACCTATTTTTGAATACATATTGTAGCTAACACATTTAATGCACTTGTTCCCCGCTCCTTTTTCAAGTGATTCCAAGCAAAATGGGTTTCACCATTCAACAATGGGAATTTGTTACCCAACAACCAAGAATAAGGGAACAGAGGAACACTCCTCCATCCAGCTCTAACAATAGCATTCTTGAGAAATAAAGAAAATTAATGAAAAACTCAACTTGCTCATCGAGAAAATGGCCATGAAAAACCTAATCTTTCCATTAGCCTCTAGCGAAGATGATGATGAGATGAACTAAGATTTGTTATGTTTTCATTTCCTTTCTTGTTTGTTTTATCTTCATGTCTTTCATTTTTCCTTCTTGTAATTCATTTCCTTTTTTTAATAATATAAGTATGTTTTCCCCTCATGGAGTTTATCACCTTTATAAGCTCAAAAAATGTTTATCTCTTACTTGAATACTTTTTTTTTTTTGCATAAATTACCTTTGCTTAACATATTTTGAAATAAATATTCTTCTTCAACAATTATGCTATAAGCAAAAACATATATTACCATGTTGTTGAATCTTCCATAGATAAAATAAGTATAATTAAATCTCATCTTAAAACATAAATGTTACCCTTGAAATACCTTTTCTTAAGACAAATCTTAAATGCTTACACTTATAATAGTATCCAAAAATCAAAACCTTATTTTGCATACAAAAATATATGATGCCTAGGTAACATATCTTTTGTGGTGTCTCTTACTAAAAGTACGACATTCTTTGTCAAAAATTCAATATGTTGGTTTACTTTCATCTATAAACAAATGTTTGACATATTTTCGCAGGATTTTCCATTATATTCTAAAAAATACATATATTTGTTTATCACATGTTACAATAAACAAATATCTACTTTTGCTTAAGTGTATCGTTTAATACTATACTTGCATTTCCTAAGAAAACGTACAATGTCATATGAATGTTCAAACCATGTTTGCATATCTATTGTATCTTTTACCCGTCAATTTGATTAATACAAAGTGGGAGAAGTATACTATCAGGGGGAGAATATATGTTCTATCTAATTCAGGAGGAGTATTATAACTCCAAAATATAATGTTTTGTTTCGTTAACCATCTTCCCTGAGAGATGTGTTGTTATCATCAAAAGGAGGGGGGGGGGGGGGGGGGGGGAGGGGTTGAAATGCAGGTAATATGTTTTATTTTGATGGTGAAAGCTACAAAGTGAAATACTAACAAAACCTCCTTCATGATAAGAGAACAAAAAATGATAAGTCAAAGAGCACTTAAGTGGTTAAAGATGCAAATCATCAATGTAAAGGTTTGATGAATTTGACAATTCAAAGAAGAAGGCAAACAAAGATAAATTATCGAAAGCCTTAAGATATTATAAGAAGTGTTAACATAGAGGATAATATCTGTCAAAAATCTTGTAGAAGGAGTTAGACTCCTAATTTAATAAGTGAGTGACCTTTTGTAAAAGCAAAGAGATTTTTCGTGAAAATATATGGCTATAAGCACACACATACACACACACTAAAACTTTTTTTTTCAAATACCTTTACCAAGAAAACTATTTTCAAAAATGTCTTTAAGTTATGCCAGATGACTTAGAAGCGGTGGAAATAGCTAAAGGAATTTTTTTGACTAATCTAATCGATTAGACCTTAATGTCAATCGATTATAATAGCTCAAACGGAAGCCCTAATTTATTTAGACAACACATTAATGGTGTACAACAACTAATAATATCCTCTTTCCTTTTAAATGACCAACAATGGCTATATTTTCTGTATCTAATCGATTAGACCAAAAATCCCATCGATTAGCCAACAGTTAAACTCATTAAATGAGATTTATGTTTTGGGAATTCTTCTTTCCTATAAATAGATGTCTCATTTCTTGTTTCAAATCATCCAGAATACCATTTGTGTATTGACACTCACTATTTATCTCTAAAAAAATTTATTTTTCACTTTCTCTCACTAGTTCTTATAGCCAAATGTTTTTATGAGGAAAGTTTTATTTGTGAGTGAGATATTCATTGTAATTCTGTAAGGGTAGCATTGATAAGTTCTCCAAGAAACGTTTATACACCTTGAATGAATACTGTCTATTTAGGGATCATATATGTGGTTCGAAGCTAAACTCGTTAAAAGCTTATGGTTGGGGATTGTGTGGTCAGGTCCTACTGTTTCATATATATGTGTGTGTGTGTGTGTGTGTGTGTGTGTGTGTGTGTGTGTGTGTGTGTGTGTGTGTGTGTGTGTGTGCGTGTGTGTGCGTGTGTGTGTGTGCGTGTGTGTGCGTGTGTGTGCGTGTGTGTGCGTGTGTGTGTGTGTGTGTGTGTGTGTGTGTGTGTGTGTGTGTGTGTGTGTGTGTGTGTGTTGAAGATCATCTAGCTTTGAAGATGTTACCATTGGTTCATGGTTAGCTCGGTTAAGACTATGATAGATTTTGAGATCAGTCTGATTATTTGGTTATCTTGTTAAATCAATTGATCTCAAATATATTTTGGAATTTGAAGACTAACCGCTATAAGATCCATGTTTGCGGAGAGAAGGATGACCGTTTCAATCTACAGTTAGGAAGGAAACTTGGCCACTTCAATGTTAGCAACTTATTGGAAAAGACATAAACACCCATATCTATCGTCTTATATTATTATGGTTGTAGGAAAACCACTATTTCCTTATATAAGAGGGTTTGTGAGTCTTTCTTACTAAAATCTCTCAAGTATTATTGGAAACTCTTAAGACCAAGTATTGGGAGAGAAGTAAGTCTTTTTTGTTTTGACAGAATCTCTATAATTCGTGGTACCTTTCTTCTTCTTTTAAACTTTTTAATTTCCGCACTTTAATATTTTTTTTCCACTACTTAGACTTAGAAAATATTTTCAATCTATGATTAAATTGCCAAAAGTTTTCAAAATCCATGTTGTTCCAAACCACACATTTCACCCCCTCTTATGTGTGAAGTCTCTAGTCCAATAATTTTTGTGTTGATTATTATAAACTTGATTAATATTTAAAACATTATCGAACATCTTTCTTTTCAAAGTTATGAATATGTTTTTGGACAGAACCATGTTCATTATCATCTCAACAACAATTTTGTTCTCATCAACATCTAAATGACCAACAACTAGATGACATGCTAACTTGCACTCCAATTCATGATTCTACACATCGCATACCATATTAATCTTTCAAACATTTGCTTGCAAAAATGTACTTGCACAACCTAAAAGGACATCAACATTTCTTTGATATGGTGTCATCAAGTTTCAACTTTCTATTTATTTCTTTATACTAACCACCTCTTTCACAAGTCATCACAACATAAATTTTCTTCTACCAAACATCTCAATAACTACACAATAACCAAACTAAACTGCTATCGCACGAACCCATTTAAGCATCATGTAACATAAACATTAGTGTAGTGATAAACTGTTTTCCAACTTCAACTTTAGCAACATCAAATTTAAGAACACATGTTCACCAATCTCTAATACCTAATTAGCATCTAGACCAACAACATTTGATTCTTTAGATATTATGTTGATAACATTATAATACATCATCTATGTAACAGTTTTGAACGTAAAAAAAAGAGAATCGAACATTCATACTAGTGGAGGATCCTTCCAAAAATTGTTTGAAAGGTTTCACACAATACAAAAACCACACAAAACAACTCCATCAATTTGACAATTAGACTTTTGAATGTTTTCAGACAATACAAAAATCACACAAAACCACAGAAAAATAAACGGGCTCTCTTTTTTGAAATGAAAGTATTGAAGTTAACCAAAAAAGGAAAAAAGTAAAATAAAGGAGCAGAACAAAAACCGGACATGACATACCATATGCTCTGAACTCTACAGTCACATGATTTGGTTGAGGCCATCATTAATATCTTTTACCAAATCAAACATTACCATATTTACAATAACAAAATCAAATATCACTTGAGATTTCATATATACATATTTAAATCTATGCTAATTATAGTGCTCACGTGCCTCATCTACATTTCAGTCAACAACCCAACTTATATAAATAAATATATTCTCCACATATTAATTATTGCTCTTTATTACTTTTTCTGATTTTTTATTCGAGATCTATCAACAGATTTGCAACAATATTTTATATAAATACTAGCTAACCCTCACACATTGTTAGAAGCTAGTCAACAAAAATGTGGCGTATGAGTTCTGAAAACAACACTTCCACGATGAAGATGAAAGATGAAGCTATCACCATGGCAACAGAAACTGTGGCAGCTACAAGATCATCATCATGTTGTTGTTTGATGACAAAACTGATGAGAAAAGTACTCAAGAGATCACGTAGCCGAATCAGACAAGGTTCGTTTCAATGTCACTACGACCCTTTGAGCTATTCTTTGAATTTTGACACAAGTGATTGTGGAAGCTTATTGGATGAGGATTATTATTATAAGTTCTGTGCATTTTCTTCAAGGTTTGTAGCAAATCCAACCACTTCACGTCCTGTTCTTCAAGTAGCTTCGGGGAACTCTCAATAGAAATTAGTTAGTTAGAATCATTAAGACTATTATTTTTCTTCTTAGAAGTTTAGTTTGAGTTAAGATCTTGCATTGGTATGTATCATTCACTAGATGAATTAAAGTGAACCGTTTGTGGTTTATTTTACTATAATATATTAATATTAATAACTTACGAATCTTGCTTAGTTATTTTGATAAGTTTTTGGAAACCGTTATATAAATATTTATGTCAGTAGGTAAGATAAATAAACAGATATTAATATATTAATTATTTTCCTCAACTTGAATTGACAATGGGGTCAACATGAGCATGTTGGTTACTGAGTAATAATTATTCTTTTTTCTTCTTTTGAACAATGTCTACTCCTAGTCAAAAAGAAAGTAGATCGTGGTAAGCTTGCGCTCATAACCTTATTTTGAATTTATTTCAAATTAATAATTATAAATTTATACGGTACTCTAGTTTTGTAAAATGCATCAATATATAGAAGAAAATGATATTTTGACACTAAAAATTACACTACATCGTATATATTATTTACAAATATATGAATAGTATTTTAATAAATTTCTCTTTAAATTTATTTTGATTAATAAAATATTAAAACTTAGTTAATATAGTTTAAAATTTGGTTAATATATATTCTGACATAAAAAAGTTAATATATATACATTTCAGATTTTGATTAATAATATATATATATATATATATATATATATATATATATATATATATATATATATATATATATATATATATATATATATATATATATATATATATATATATATATATATATATATATATATATATATATATATATTTGATTAATTCAGTTTATAATTTGGTTAATGAGTTTTCAAACATAAAAAAAGATTATTAAATAATAAAATAAAGTTGGTTAATACATTTATAATTAAGTGTCAGAACATGGTTAATAGTATATCCAAAATTGGTTAATATAATTCATAACTTGGTTAATGAGTTCCCAAACATAAAAATAAATTAAATAATAAAATAAAATTGGTTAGTAGAATATAAAAGTTGGGGTTAATAGTCAGTTCGTCCCCTGTCATTTGGACGAGTTTTGATAACTCCCCTGTAACAAAAGTTTAGATTCACATCCTGTTATTTGAATATTCCCTCAATTTCCTCTGAACAAGCCAACTCATCCAAAATACTTACGTGACACTGAATTTTTTTATTTTTTATTTGATTTATATTCCATGTGTGTAGCTTACCCATGGAAATGACAATTATACCCCTGTTATAATTTAACAAAACTAATACATTGATTTTCTTTACATCTAATAAATTAACATCGTGAATTAAAAACTGAAAAACGTAGGGAACATATGAAATAAGTCAGCTTGCCAACATAGTAGAATAACTGTTTTTTTATGAACACTCATAATAACCATGATTACCAATAACACAACATGTTTTGAAAACCAATTTAATTAGACACATAGATTCAAAACCAATCTTCAAAATCCCATCAAAACAAAAAGAGACACATAGATTAAAAAACATTAAATGCAAAGCTCTAACAAGAAGAGACCTATTCTCCAATATTTTCAAATACACTCCCTTAGCCTTACTCAAGAACCCCATTGTCTCATAACACAACACAAGCAAAAGCCTCCACTCATCTTCATTCAGTTCTTTATCAAACAACCTCTTCATAAACTTCACAACTTCCTTACACTTCCCTCTCCTGACTTTCCCATATACAGAGCCTCCATGGATTAAGGTGTTATGACTGCAAAAGTGAGTCTTTTGCTGAAGTAATTAGTGAAGATAAACGACCTAATAAGAAAAAATACGACATTTTGTGAAATTAAGTTGGTTAAAGTACTTTGAGGTGAGAAAGTTGAAGAAGGTTTGATTGAGATTTGAAAATGAGAGCAAAGTGAGAAATGGGTTGCGCAGAATTTGGATGGTTGGAGAGAAAGTGATAGGTGTTTGTTATGGGTATGAATCTATGGAAGAAGGAGTGAATTGGGGAACTTTGATTGAAATTTGGAGAAGATGAAGAGAGAAGTGGTTGCAGTAGAAGTCATCTTATTGTCCGTCGTCTTCGGTGGAGAGCAAACCCCCTTAGTAATTGCTTTAAACGTGTTATTTATTGTGGTTTATTTTAATTTCATTTGAGTTAGGGTTTTAAGGTTTCAAAACCCGATCTAGAATACTCAATGAGGTTTTTGGCTAATCTGAGTTTGGATTCGTGATTAGGGGTTTATGTTGGGGGGTGTTTGTGTTGAGTGTTTTTGATTTTAGGTTTTAGGTTTTTTCTAGTAAGGTTCCACCGGACCACCAGCCACTTCATTTTCTCCGGTGACGGAGGTGTAGATCATTATTTTGTTTTCTGCAGAGGATAGAGAGAGATGAGAGAGTGTTAGAGACAAAAGAGGGAGTGGGTTTGAGGGATTGGATATAATTGTTATTTACATGGATAAGTTACACACATGGAATATAAATCAAATGAAAAAAATAAAAAAATTCAGTGCCACTTAAGTATTTTGGATGAGCTGTCCTGTTCAGGAGGAAAATTAAGGGAATATTCAAATGACATGGTGGGAATCTAATTTTTTTTTTACAGGGAGATTTATCAAAACTCGCCCAAATGGCAGGGGCGAACTGACTATTAACCCTAAAAGTTGATTAATACTTTTATAATCTAGTATCAGAACATGGTTAATAATATGTATTTTATTGGTAAATAAAATAGTAAAAGTGGTTAATAAATTATAAGTAAAATAATTGGTTAATAACTATATTTTTGTAGTTAATACAATTATGAAGTTGTTTAATGACATAACATTATATTTGTATTTTAAAATAAATTTAAAAAATATTTTTTTAAATAAATAATTATTTTTTAAAAATAATATTATTTTAATAAAAAAACACTGTTCACCATATATATACGGTGAACAGTATATACGGTGTAAGTACTTGGTGTCATTGGTGGTGTCAACATAGCAATCCTGTATACTGAAACATCACATATGTTTTCTTGATATGTAAATTGTTTTTGAGACAATTGAAAACAATTGTTATGCTGTTGCAAAATGATCTTAGTTTTTTGTAATTATATGTTAAAAAATTATTTTTTATATTTTAAGTGCAAATGTTAATAATTACTTCTTATTGCTAGATTGATTTTATGTTTGACTTAAGTTTATATTGATATTTCACGGGTTATTGTCAAAATAATACATATTTTATTTTAATCATTAATTGACCAAAAAAATTCTTCATCTCATAAATCCCTTATTTCTTATTATTATTTTTTGCAGAAAATGAGGGAGGCGGTATGGAGGCTACGGAGGTCTTAGCTTATGGGATTGATAATGAGTGCATGGGGAGAAGAAATTTAAAGGTTATATTTGGTGGAAAGGATGGAACATTTAATATGGTGTCTGACATTCATTTAAAGGGGGATATGATAACTCTAAGTCAAAACACATGATTAATTGTCTAGTTAAAATTTCAAATTCGTTATCGTTATTGTCTAATCATGTAGTGGGGGACCCTCTATCAGACTGTTCAAACCCAATAACTTGTTCACCTATTGGGCTTGTTACTAATGTTGGGGATGGCTCATTTGGCGTTATGAAACCCAGGAAAAAATCACTTGATGCTATTTTTGAAACTCTTTCGGCCCATGCGGTTCCTTCTTACTTTAATGTTCTAATTCCTTATAGAAGGAACTTGTGCAACTTAGCTTTCCCCAATTTCAACCCTAATTCTCCTGAATTCGACACAATTTTTGAAGAACAAGGTTCAAGATGTTCGAGTGAGGTGAGTTTGGGCGGCATTTCACTTAATGACTCTGATGTTCAACAAGGAAATTCACGGTTTCAGAGTGAAGTCGATAGGAATATTCCAGCGAAAGTGTGGAAATGAATTAAGGCTTTGGGCATAGAAGGGGACGAGGATGACGAACGGGGTTTTTGAAGGAATTATTCTAAGTATGGAAGTAAGATATAGGTTGAACAATGAAGCTCTATTGGGGATTAATACTTCTGATAAAAGAATATCACTACATTTAATATTTGTGGGTGCGAAAACTCTCTAAAAAGAAGAAGAATTTGTCATGTAGTTTCAAAACAAAGAATTGAAATGTGCTTCTATCAAGACACAAAAAAACCATAAGGTGAAAGAGGAAACCGTGTTTAGCTTATGGGGTTCATCTAATTGTGAATGGTATGGGAAGGATTCTAAGAGGCATTTTAGTGGCATACTCACGGTATGAAAGAAAGGTGTGGAAAGGTATTAATTTTTACTTTATGGGGAAAGGATACTTGGGAATCAATGCGGTGTGGAAAGGTATTAACTTTTACTTTATTAACATTTATTCTCCTTGTTCTCTAAATGAGAAATGATAATTTTGGTTGGTGTTATTGAATCTGAAGAATAAATATGCTGATGGGGAGTGGGTGTTAGGGGGTGATTTTAATGCATCAAAATCATTGGAGGAAAGGTGGGGTAGGAGTGCAGGGAGTAGAGCTACAGAAATAGAGGATTTATGTAATTTTATTGATCTCATGGAACTAATCGATGTTCTAATTGTGGGAAATACACACACCTGGATAAATTTAAATGGTTCAGCAAGTAGTTATATTGATAGGTTTTCTTATGTTGGAAGGTGTGATTAAGAAGTAGAACATTGTTGCGCAATCTTCTGGAAACATGGACATCTCAGACCATAGGCCAATGTGGAATATTGATAAATTTAAGTGTTTAGGGCCTGGTATGATCATATTGATTTTATGTCGTTTGTCAAAAAAGAATGGGAATCTTATGATATTAAGGGTAAGAAATACTTTGAAAATTAAGGATAAATTTAAGAGGTCGGGGGATAGACTGTGTTGGTGGAACATAAAGGCTTTTGGATGGATTGATTTGAAATTAGAAGAAGATGTGGATGTTGTGAATGAGTTAGAGCTTGATTTGTCAAATTCTATAACTTTGTTATCTCATGATCTTTAAGAAAAGAGGAAAAATACGA